GTCACCTCCCGCATAATTCTTACGTAATGTCTGACCAATTTGGTCAATTTTTGTTAAATACTTGTCGTGGACGTTCATTTGCTTGAAAAGTATTTAATCAACCGTCGACACTGACCGTTCGCGTCTCAGCTGAGCCACACCTAGCTGGGACTGCTGCGGAAAAAAGGTCCCAAGGCAAAACCTCTACTTTTTAGTGACATTTCTAATAAAAAATGAGCGTCGGACCGGAATATAGTCAAACTAATTTTTCACAAGTGCAAAGGAGAAAGAAATTTACTTTTTGGTGATATTTCTGACAACGAGGCAGTTTCGGAATATAGTCAAAATCGACGGATGTTTATAACAAGTTCACGGGAGTAATAATTCTAGTATTTTATTGTCATTCTGACGACGAGGCGGTTACGGAATATAGTCAAAATCAAACGGATGTATATTTCAAGTCCACAGGAGTAATAATTCTACGTTTTGGTGACATTTTTTACTGCGAGGCGGTTTCGGAATATACATGTGCTGGTTTTCAGAGCATTCATGTGCTATATGTAATAACAAGTTCGAAGGGGGAACACATTTGATTTTTACCAATATATCTGATAAAGAGGAAGAATGAACAGCTTAAAAACAAAAGGTAAATAATAACACAACCTTCGTTAAAAATTATAGATTTACAAATAATTTGTATACACGTGTGGCTTAAATGTTAACTAATCCCGTTTTCGAACCATACCCATATGACATGACTTACTGTAATAAAATGATAATTAATAATTGTTAAACGTGAAAAGTTTATGCTAATTTTTTTAAGAGTGTGAGAGATTTTAAATTTGTCTATTGGTAGGTATATAACGTAAGCAACGTCACTATTCTCTTGATGCCAAGAAGGTCACACGATCACTGTCTTTGGCTTTCAGCATTTAAGAGACCTCGACTGATTTAACCAAGATGTAGTAGTGAAATTCTAGACTACATCGAGGTTAAATCCGTGTTCTCCGAGAGACGCTACGCAGAAATGTCCAGTGAAGCGAGACATTTTTGGTAGCGGCTCGAGGTTGCCCTCGATCTTCACTGAAGCTTGGCTAAATGGACAGGCTTCAGTGATCATCATATCGCCACGGTCATGTAACATCCCTAGGTATGTATATACCAATATCATATTCACCATAAATCATTGACATAAAGAGCTAGTGCATCATATGTATGACCTAAGTTGCAAATGACCCATCATAACAGCTAGAAATAGGTACTTTTTGGACACATAATTGGTCCTATGAGCAGTGTCTTTGGTATCAGTCTATCAGCAATCTCCAAAAATAAATTGTTAATTTATCAGACACTTGTAACATTAATCACATTTAATTGTTCACCCTGATCGTGAAACAGCCGTTTTGTATTCGTTCATCAACAGTAAACAATCTTCCCATTAACTGAACGCAAAAGTTGCCAGGGGAACTGGCCTGTTGTCGAATATAAAGAATTTAGCCTAAATTTTGATACAACTGTTTTTCTTTCATTCTTTGATATTAGCTCCGCACATAGTTCATCTTTACGATCTAAACTCCAAACTTAACCAAAAAACTTCTTCATACTTAAAAGCATCAGAGAATATTAATTTAAAAAGCTGGATAACAATATCTCGGGCTTACTTCACTGTATGGCACGTGTCATCTCACATTAATTAACAATCAGTTCAGGTTAGCTTTATTCATGCCGGGTAAACACAGTGATTAAGCTCTGACTATTACATAATCACTACTGCGTGACACGCGTCGTCTAAAATTAATGTTAACATTGCGATGACGCTCTTCAATCCAAACTATTCAATTTTACCTAATTCTCAATCAACTGACACGTGTCATCAGTGTGTATCTGGACTTCCTAAATGGCCAGTAAGTATTTTGTATAATATGACATGTTTATGTCACTGAAAATTAAGGCCATAGTATGTCGCGACATGGCATTACTATGTGTTGAAGAAATACGACAAAGGGTTTGGTATTGCCGATAAGACACGCAGTGGACGTCCTTCAAAGGTTGACCTGCGCCACATGAACGTTATAGACGAGGAGATGACCAAGAATGATGAATTGGTGGCCTCAAAACTAAAAACACGTCTCTTTGAGCGAACAGGTAATTTTATTGAGCAACATGGTATTAATTGGTTTCGCACCCCTCCAGAAAGCCCCGACCTTAACCCTATTGAAAAAGTATGGGCTGAAATCAAACATCACCTGCGTACGCGTGTTAAGAGAGAGAGAGCAACTTGTTGAAGGCATTAGAGAGGCATGGGAAAATATTAACGCAGAAAAGTGTAATAAATATATTAATCACCTAAAGAAGGTGATTCCAGCGGTAATTGAGAGAGAAGGTCGTTCATCAGGCTACTAAACTAGCAACACATGTAATAAAGATAAAGAGACATTGATATTTATTTGATGTATTAGCTATTTAAAATTTTCCATTTTAACTTCGCTTGTGTTGATCGTGACTTATTATCATCAAGTGAACCTCAAATAAAATTGTTATACGAGTTTTAAAATTAAGCCTGATTTGTTCTTCAGAGTTTTGTTCTCATATTCGACCTGCCTTTACTCTAGTCTTCTGTTGCAGTTGATATAACATAACCCGGTATTGTTTGCTCTCGTCGATAGCAATCTCTTTGCATCAGCTATAATAGAAACCTTAAGTGTTTTATACTGTATTTGTTGGAATGACAGGAATGCACTTTAAAAAAGTACTTCAGGATATGTTACATGTGAAAGTTCTGAAATAATAGTAAGTCAAGGTATGTTTTAAAATGACGTCATGCAACAGATATGTAGCAATATCTATACAATATCAGAAAACAGAAAACAACAGAATATGACCTGTTATATATTTTAGAGCCACAAACATCTTGCCATGGCTTTGAAGATGCTACCATTCCTACATGTACGACAACAGCAAAAGGTCTTCCTATAATCGAGCTTATTCTTTAAAGCAAACATCCGTGTGAACAGCAGGGAAACAAAAAGTGAAACTAATTTTGACTGCATTTTGGATTTTTATCATGAGTTAAACTTCACATTTCATTCATTGATAGTGCACTGCAATTGTTGCCAGATGCCTATTTAGTGTATAAGCTGCGATAAAAACGCTGAACAGAAACGCGCTCTCCAGATAACTGTTTGATATGCCGTGGTTCGCAGTGTTTAATTATTCAATATCCGTCGCCATTATAAACCTCCAACAGAAAGCTGGAACTTCAATGTTTTACAGGCGTATATGCTTAAGCGTGGCATAAATTTAGGTCACCTTACTTTTATCAGTAAGTAACTTCAATAAAAACGCGTAGCTCAAATAAAATATTGGTTGAACATTTTATATACCGGTATATGCACATATTTTTTCACTCCATTATAATTGGCTGATCACGTGATCAATGCTGTACTTTCTATCCCTAATGTCATCTTCAATTTTTCATTTATAACACATTGTTTTCCAGACCACTAATTGTAAGTCACTGCCTGCATATGTTTTAATTAGTAGAGTGTTTGCGATCTCAAATTAAGCCCCTTTACATCTAATTGTAAATATGGTACTACCAAGTCATTAAATATGGATCAATCATAAAATACGCTATTTCATTTAATGGCCCCATGCACCTTTAAAGTAAAATTTCTTATCGATACCTTTATTCTGTGTTACGCCGACGACAGATAAAGTCGTGTCTATTCTCTCTCTTGCCCACGTGCACGTTCCTCTCTCTCTCTCTCTCTCTCACCTGTCCACTCCGTCCTTGGGTAAACCCTTTCCTCCCAGACCACACCAGCATCCGTAGCCGTTATAATCCAGGGGAGATCTTCCTGTGCGATTCGCAATCATAAACCCAAACTGAACTAAATTTCTTTTCTTACGAGAAAGCACATCATTCCCACACATGCAGGCAATGATTGTGCATGCAGCTGCAAATAGAGAAATGTGTACAAAACAATACACTTTTATACATAAAGTATACGACCGATGCATAAAATTTGGTATTCACTCTATTCGCTTCAACTGCCCAATGACCAAAACAGAGATAAATAAGTTGTAAACGTACCGATAAATAGGAATAAAAACCCAGTATTCATCTTGAATTACAACTCGGCGCTGACTCAGATTAGTCTCTTTGTCAAAGTGCTCTACCAATGCGCAACATTTACTACGCCGCGTCTTTTATTTATTTGACTGCCACCTATTGGGGTAGTTAAAATACGTTTATCAAAGCACATGGCAAGTTACTGAGTTTTTTTTTTTTTTTTTTTTTTTTTTTTTTTTTTTTTTTTTTGCGGATTTGGAGGTAATAAACGAGCACTCGGTCGTACAGGATTCATAAACGATAATTGCCGTTTTCTAACACGAGTCTTGGATTTGGGAGCACATGCATAAATGAACGACTCCAGCTACGAATTAACTATCCCAAAGCAGAATTACTTGCCACAAGTTTAGCGTTACATTGCACATAATATTGGCCAGCTACTGATTCTGCAGAATGACTCTGAAAACGATGTGTACAACTACATGATGATTTTTAAAGAATATTTTTTGAAGAACATTACGTTGTTGATTTATGTGTTTTCTATCAGCAGTGAAAAATGAAATATATAGATGTAATGACATTTTAGTAAAGCATATCCTCTGTGTGGTATCATAAACTTAAACAACTACATGTATATTCTCGTTTGCTATACATCTTTACTTCGGATATTGCAACTTTTTGAGGACTACTGCAGTGTTATACTATTTATGAGCTGCATCTTACTATTTACTTTTCTGATTCTGCATAACTGCATGGGGAAATTCTAAAATTCTCGACTCCTCAATCACGGCAAAACAAGTTGATGAGAACAGTTTATTTAAATATATTCGCAATATAACAGAAATTCTCAAGTAGTTTCTTTTCTCTGTTTACTTCGTTTCCCTATTTCAAATTGCAAGCATTATATTTTCAAAGGATATGTCAAAAAGTGTGAATTAAAATTAGATCTATTTTATGTTTACATTGATATTTCAAATATGAATGAGACTTTCAATGGTGGTCTATGCTAGTCCGGTCCGGTTATATACTGATCTGCCGACGAGTGTTGGGCAATCATCTACAGAGGAAATTAGGCCAGCTGATGTATTTCTTGTGAAAGGTGTTGCTAGCGAAGCAATACGCCGCTGTTCTGTCGCATTCACATGCCCCCTGTTGACAGCTGTTATTTTCACTGCTATCTGCAATTGAAAATAAAAGAGTACAGCCCGAGTCTATGGCAATCCCCTGGTAAGTACCAGAGCCTGTGTCTAAAAGTTAAAACGTCTTAGGGTTTTCTTAGGTTATACCCCTAATAGCATATTTCGTACAGGTGATTTTGCAATATTGGTTGAAGTGTTATAGGACTTTGGCTCGACTAGCCCACAATGAAATCTAATGACATACCTTTATGGGTAATTATTGCCTCAAATTCAAATATAAGCTATGAGCAAAGTTAACAGCTACAAAAATAAACGAGGTAAGATGAATTTCACATTATCTGTGAAGCATAACATTAAAGGATAAAAAACGCATTTTTCTCTGTAAGCGTTATATATATGTATTCCCCGTCAAAATATTCTTGCCAGTATAGAGATGTATTTTTCTAGGTAAACTATATAAACAATACTATACAGTACAACACAAAACAATACAATACAAAACAACAGGACACAACGTAACAAAATACAAAACACTGCAATATTCAAAACCAGACAGTAAAACACAATACAAAAAAACAGAACCGAACAGTGCCATATAACTCAGATCAATACCCCAGTACAATCGATACAACACAATACAATACTATTTAACACAACACATTATAAGAGGAGGGGGCACCTGACTAAACAGCACACCTGAGGGGTGACAGGTGGTAATAACAGGTGGTAATACCTATCACGGATTTCATTTCCCTGATGAATCTGACTGTCAGCAGATGAAATTTTGGCTGGTAAATGTCACTTAATATTTTTAAAGATATTGACAAATGAAACTTTATTGGTCATTTCCAATACGGGCTTTTCTAATGAAACTGTTCAACAATAAAAAACAATATAATTGAATACAAGACAAGGCAATACAATACGACATAATACCATACAATGCGACACAACGCGACTCAATGCAATACCACGCAATGTAATACAATACGATACAGTACACATTAATGCATCACAGTATAATACAACACAATATATACAACATTACAACATAAAAAAACAACACAATACAATACAACAAAATATGACACAACACAAAAGAGTACAAGACAAGTAGACAAGACAATAACTTATGAGACAAGGCAATACAATACGACATAATACATTACTGAACTTATGAGAGATTTAAATCAAGATTTTAACCAGGTATGGAACTTACCACAAACAATTCCACCGCTCAGACTGTAGGTGTAGGTGCTAATCACTGGGTTACAACCATTGTCTCTAAGTCTATCGTAGCAGTAGTCATGGGAGCGGCAGCATCTGTAATAATACGTATTGTTCAATGTGTATTGTAAAATATATTGTTTAGTGCATTTCAAGCAGTGTTATGTTCATATTGCACGACGCAAACAAACAAGGGACATGCTTTAGCCCCACGCAAAAATCTGTTGTTTCCAAATAGTCACCAATGGCTCTTCAGCCTGTTGCACAAGAATATAAAAGTTTTGGGGTTGACTTGGACTGCAAAACCCCGCTGTCAGCGATTAAATAGGTGCGTATACGTTGGAAGCCCATGTTAAGTGTGTGTGTGTGTGTGGGGGGGGGGGGGGGTTGCTCATTCAGGAAAAAACTACCCCCCCCCCAATACCTGCTTCTTGTGTTTGTGACATACGTGGTTAAAAAGTGGAGATCGAGCCCAGCTTGCTACTCTTCGCACTTACGCTTGGGACTATTTTTTCCTGAATTGTTTAAATTATAAACGTATTCGTCCATAAGTTCCGGGTAATCATACTTGCAAACATTACTGAACGTATGGTGTTTAGATATTTTAGAAAGACCGTAATTGCTGTTCCATCTCTAGATGGAACCTTCTATTGGTTTGCTTGGAAACTTTCCATGGACTCATCAAAACGCGTTTAACAAAGCTTTTATTTGACGGCAAAACGAATTACTATGAATCTAATTGTTCTCCTTTTTGTTCTTACTGATACACCAAGTTATTATAAGTCAAATACGAAGCAGTCTAATCATAAAATACTGATCAGTCAGAGACTGCGCTATATTTCTTGCAAAGTGAGGAACTCCTTATTCTAAAATTAATATAATATTTTCATCATATATATTCACCTGTCTACTCCGTCCTTTGGTTTTCCTCTCCCTCCCAGACCACACCAACAACCATAACCGTTATATAACAAGGGTTCTCTTCCAGTGCGATCCTTTATCATTTTGCGGAACTGAAAAGCATTTCTCTTCTCGCGAGAATGCACGTTATCCTCGCACATGCAGGCGGTGACTGCGTATGCAGCTGCAATTAAAAAAGTAACGATTAGGAGCTAAATAATTTGATGATAGCTATTAGTGCATGAAGTATAGCAAATTGGACTCTCCACTTTTCTAACCGCATGGCCTGAGTAGAGACATTCATAGTTGAAAATTTGGCATTTTTACCTGAAGTGGGTACAATGTTTAATAAAAGTTTATGTTTGAAAAACTGCTTTTATTCCGTTTTGTTTTTATTAAATATGTAAAAAAGGGAACACATTTATTTATTTTAATTCACTAAATTTCGTTTAAAACACAATGTCTTGAAAAAAGAAAAATTTTGTTGATTATGCTCTCAATTATCGAGTATTAGCTGAGCTTTGCTGACTAACTTTGAGTTTAGGCGGCTTCCGAGGAAGCAAAAAGTAGTTGATGTTGAAAAGCTTCTAATGTAAATGGTGAGCGGCCTTTAGAAATATTTGTTAAACACAACGTAGTAAAAAATATTTTAGACAGAAAACTGTCAAATATCCCAGCTTCGCATCAAATATAGCCTCGATCTTATCCAAAGTCAAAAATTGTTTATTCCGAATAATTCCTGTAAGTGTGAAAAAAAACTGGAATATTCTTTTAAAAGGTTAACAAGTAAAGGTATCAGACAACTGCCTGTAGCGGCAACGGCAGATGCAGGTAATGCACATGAAGGATACTTCTTCATACACAATGTATCTGCATATGTCCATAAAATGTGCCGTATTGTGTCCGACATGGATCATATGACTTTATTCCTCAACTATTCGTATTACCCCGTTATTAGGAAACTATTTGTTTAATATAAAATTAACTTACCCGCAATAAACAAGATCAGGGACGTCTTCATCGTTCTTCAGTGCCCGTCCACTTTTAACTCTTCTAAGCTACAACAAAATGCTGCCCGGGTGTATCTGAAAACATACAATAAATTAAGGCTGTATTAAAATTTAAAATAAACAAATAGTTTGGCCCTCAGAAAATTCCTAAACATCTGTTGAAAGAAGTCTGTAAGTTTTCATTTATCAAGGACACACCAAAGAAACTGATAGTATAGGTACCAATATTTCACGTTTACCTTATCACTTTTTTAATAGAGATAGCGACATGGTGATTCATTTCCGCCATCAGTACACCTAATAATATCTTGGACTACAAATACATATACTACAAATACATAACTGAGAGAGAGAAGAGAGAGAGCGTTATTTACCTGTGTCCGTGCCAGTAGGTAGAAAGCTGCGCCAACTGAACAGACAGACCACCGAGAAGACTATATAGACCCGAGTAGGTGAATGACCAACATAGGCGACATTTTTATCACTCTGCTTAATCTCCACACTCCCATACGTCCCATTGTTCTGTGTCTATATTTACCTTAATCTTTGTAATGTGACAAAGTTTACTATTTTCTTAGAATGGTTTCCTTGAAAACACATCAGATAATTCTTTATGTTCCAGTTACTCCCAGGGCAAAATCGTGACGAGTTCAGTTAACATAAACAAACCAGACTCATGCATCCGTGGATGTCTGTTTTAGCTCTTATCTAGTCCCCACATCAAATACAGTCCTTGGACTTAATTTAGTCCCCAAGAGGCTCTGCTCTGGCTATACCTGGAGAAGTGAAGCACGGGTAGGTCAGATGTAGGGAGGTACTTAACATTTGCCTTGGAACTAAGATCAGCGCCTATCTGATGGTCAATTATTATTATTATTATTATTATTATTATTATTATTATTAATAATAATAATAATAATAATAATAATAAAAAGTGGCTTTAACGGGTAATGAAAATACCCCTTGGGAGCCTCTCTCTTAGCTCAGTCTGTTCTTATCCTCGGTTTTCATAGATTAATTTTTACATACTTAAAGCGTTTGTGTATAGGTATACACAAAATGTCAAAATATTTAATTTAATCTTGCACACTGTAAGTTTATTTCGTTTTTGTGATATTGATATCTTCATTTCAAAAATCGCTGAGAGGGTGATCATGGGATTCTAAGGATTCCAGCTCATATATAAATATAAACGGTGTCCTATAACTTGTGTTCAACCTGTCACATGGGAAATTCTATTGTTTATAATATAAAAAGTAAAAAAATATATTAGTAATACATGGACTTATTTATTAATACATTATTAATGTATTTATTTATTTCTTTATCTATTTATATGCATAATTATTAATATTTAAATTTCTTTAAAATATTTGAATTATTTTTATTGCGTTGAAACCTACCCCCCACCCCCCACCCCCCATTCCTGCTCACGACATTTGGTTGTTGCTTTGGTTGTACTCCCGGTCTATTGATTATAACAACTCATAAAAACACACTAAAAACAAGTTGCAGTTTATTACAATTGCAATATGATTCCATCAGATTTTTTAACTAATTCCTTTTCTTTGGGTATTTTTCAAAAGTACATAGCTGCAAACTTGACAATTTTAAACTGGTATGCTAAAAAGAATCAATTTCAAATATGTGTCTGTGTTACTGTTCGTATATAATAATTCTCCTTTAAATATTTTTTTAATTTGAAAGGTACATATTTGGGATACGTCTCTTAACAGACGTCTGGTATAAAATCTTTTTGTTAAATACTTGATTTAACATTTAACTGCAGACGAGAGACGCGGCCAACCATCTAACAACTTCCTCTCCAGTTCTTGTACACACTGTTATACCGGTTCCTGGCGAAGCAATACGCCGCTGTTCTGTCACATTCGCAGCCTCCCTGTTCACAGCGGTCATTTCTACTGCGATCTGTAGTTGAAAATGAATAAGCAAAATTGTAGTATAAAACAATTCCTTGTTTACTTGGGCCGGTATCAAAAATGAATTAAGCTCTTGGTTTTAGCCTTGACTGGTAAAACCGGATTACCATTGCGTTCACTTGGTCCCCCAAGAACTTTCTTTGAACGACTGAACCACAGTAGGCCTATCTGTAGATGACATAACTTAGTAGGCTTTTACCATCACTGAGAGGAAAATCCATTGTCATGTGCTATACTATGGTCAAAGGTAACACTAAAAAAAAAACCCCGAGCTAGCTGCCTTTAACGTTCTTTGTAAACGCGACTTCCTGATCTGTTGGGACCATTAACTGCTACTACCACGCCATGCTAGCGTCACGTGTAGGCCTACATTGTACGTCCCACAATTTACAAAATTACGTCATCTAGTAATCCCGTGCTCTCACGCGATATATCTTAATCAATCAGATCTATTATTCTGTGTTTGGTTAGAAGGAAGTTCCTACTGTGAGATGTAACTAAAACTTACTGCAAACGATTCCTCCGCTTAGAGTGTAGCTGTAGGCGTTCAACACTGGATTTCGACATCCACTGTTGATAAGTCTATCGTAACAGCGGTCATGCGCCTGGCAGCATCTGTAATGATAAGTACTGGTCAATGAACTGTTATATTTCAGTACAAAACATGCAGTATAGTCTAGCACAAACAGTGTCAGATTAACATTGTACCACAATATTCTCCGACACATATCGGTAATTTTTACCTAAAGGTATCATATGCATATCTTTCCCTCGTGTTTATTCCACTAGAACATTATATAGTCTTATTCAAGTATACTGGATCTAAGGACCTAGCCTATACATTGAGTATGGGTCAGCGCTAGAAAATAACTCTGGACAGGATTAGGATGAAGGGGGTATCTCTCAAACCGGAAGTACATGAACGTTCAATAGGTTATTCAATGGGTTAGTCCTGGTATTTTGCCTTATTTTATTTGTAAAAAGAAAGGGTAGGACAATAATATGTTTGCGAAAAAACTGCATATCTTGGCTTTCTTCGTACCAAATATGCACAAAAAATATATGATCCAGTCGCTGACCTATTGAATGGCCCGATTTTAATGTGCATTGTTGCTGATGTAAGACATAGTCCCAAAAGGTACAAAATGTTACTTGACGAAAAACTTACATAACATTATGAACACACAAAACAAGAAAACAGGAACTCGAGAGCATGCAACTGTTATAGATATTTTCTTGCCATGAGTTAGTCTTTGCTTCTACTTATCGGCAACTGCTTTGGATAGTAAAACATATATAGCCTATTTACGAAACCAAGCCTACACTCTAAAGTAAAAGAGGGTAAACTGTCGGTGAGAAATACTCAATGAAACGTAATTTGGTCGTGTTTTCGGTTTTCTATCCCAAGATCAGCTACATCTAAGTAATTCAACCTAGGAAAGTGTATGCGATCTCAGATAAAGTCCTTTACACCTATTTCCAAATATGAAGCATTCAAGTCTTACTGATAAATCAGAAAATACTCTTTATCATTTGAATGGTCTTATGTACCATGAAAGCAATTAGATTGTTTCTTACCACATGTTTGTTCTTTTTCACGCTGACGGAAGGACAATCTCTCACCCCTCTCTCTCTCTCTCTCTCTCTCACCTGTCCACTCCATCTTTAGGTGTTCCTCTTCCTCCCAGACCACACCAACAACCATAACCGTTATAATCCAGGGCAGATCTTCCTGTACGACTTCTGATCATCCTGCCAAACTGAAAGGCATTTCTCTTCTCGCGAGAATGTGCTTCATCCTCACACGTGCAGACAGCGACTGCACAGGCAGCTGCAATTAAAAGAATACTGGAAAAAAAACGTTCCGTTTTGATATATTCACTATTTATTCAAGACATTTCTCTGATTATTTTTGATCCTTTTGCTAAAAAAAGACCTAAGACCAAAGGCCGTATACTTACCGATGAACAGGACTGCAGTATTCATCTTAGATTACAACACAGACGATTTCTTGGCTCACAGTGGCTGTCTTGAGAATGACTCCTGCTCAGCTGAACTTTCGTCTGTTTTATCTTGCAGTGAGGACGCTACATTTATACCAGAAACTTGAAAGGAGTGAATCGGCGTTTCAAACGTTATTTCCTTGACAATATTTCATTTTAAATGTATTCCAGTATGGGATAATACTGCCCTGTCTTAATTCGCCTAGGTAATTTGTTATTTGAAATGCATTTCAGAGAAATGGTTACTGATACTGGTATGTACCAGTACGTGGTTAAACTTCCAGAGGACCCTGTGTCATAGTCTGCTGCGTCTCTTTTGTTACAAACGCCCAGGTACCCACCGGTAAGCACAGAATTTATTTTATTATTACCAGATACACGTCGTACAGAACAGACCGTTGATTAAAAATAACTTTTAACGGGGGTATGTGTGCGTTTGTTTAAGTGTGTGTGTGTGCGTGTAAGTACATTTTGTCTGTATAGTTATTTCTATGTACACACACTGGACAATAGAAGTGTCACCCATACTGATTCTTTGGGGGAGATAATGACTGTGGAATGATATGCTCCTGGTATGCTTTATTAACACCAAATTTCACAAAATAAACGGTTCTGACTGAACAATTCAACTGTATCGATATTCTGACATTGCTAAATATTCCGCCTCTTCAGGTTAATAATTTTGATTACTCTGATTCAGGGGGTGACACTTTTATTGTCCAGTGTGTGTAGTATTGTAAACTGCAAGTCGCCATTGATTAATGGAACGCGGTACAACTTCCTGAATGTAAGGTTTTACAGTCACGCAATATTCAGTTCAACGGACCTTGTCCCTATTACTTTATACATTTGTTATCGATATTATCATTATTTTTGTTGCCATTAGTAAACCAGGAAACGTAAACAAGATCTAGGCTATGTGAACATAATGGATGGATCCTGGCAGTACCGTACTATAATGACATCTGTCCATAACTTATGACTGAATAAATTCATAGTATTAACTTTTAAGATTGATCGTATGTTGCAGATGACACAGCATGAACTATCAACAAGAGACGCCACTACTAGCGTATTATCAATGCCATGAACTATGAATCAAGTCAAAAAATATCTTTTTCAGTATAACTATGTAATTCTTTAGGACCTATTTGGTCGAAAATCACAACTGTAACAAACAATCCTGCATCGTCAGGGACCTGTATCTTAACGAGCCGAAATAAAAGTTGTGGTATCTAGTACTATGTTAGCATGAATATTGGCAAAAATGTTTGCGTCAATAGGGGTACTTTATAAACTGGAAACATCATTTATTACAAAAGTCATTTTTTGAGATCAAAATACAAGATTACTTCACTTGACTGGAGTTGTATTGAATGTCTTTATATTCATTTAAACTACTGATTTCATCAAAACTTTTTTTTATCTAATAAGACATGTTTACAGACGCAATATAATTTATATAGCAATACTTGGGATTAAACGGAGAAGTGTAGCAATAAATACGGTACAAGTATATACGAAGCATGGATAATGGCATCCCATATGCTTGTTTTATTTGCAGCAAATAGAACATCTTTCAGACTGTTCATTAAAAAATGATTTAAGAACAATTTGATTCATGTAGATAGTGACGTCAAAAATTTAAAAAGTGTGACGTCAGAATTTAAAAAGTGTGACGTCATAAAGCGTTTAACAGCTCCCCCTCCAGTTCCGGTAGCGGACGTTATAAATGTTCCTGGCAAAGCAATAGGCAAGTGCTCTGTCACATTCACAGCCAATCTGCTCACACACGTCGTTTCTTCTGCTATCTGCAAGTAAAGAAAACATGCCTCGTAAAGACTTACTGACATTTGAAATAATACATGTACCCATATACAGAGAAAATCCGTATACCACAGTATTATTGTTATCATCTTTTAAGCATTCACAATAGCTAACATGCTAAGACCGTGTGTTTACCACGCCATCACGCTGCAGGTGTGTAGTCACGTGGTCTCAGGCGGCACATTCATTGAATGTGACGTGTACGCATTGGTTTATGATTGACAGCTGTGACACGGCTAAGCACCTGAGCAGGTGTGCCTGCAGACCTTAACTAAATCCAGAAAATGTCCTAATGAGATAAGAAATTGTTAATAATTCACAGGAAACATCCAGCTGTTGTTAACGATACAAACAACAGATAGAGTTGTGTAGGTTTATCAATATAAAAACTCATCAGTGGCCATACAATCATAACGTAATAGTTACGTCATTAAATAACGTCATAATAACGAACAGAAATTCAAGGGAATAATTACCACTTTTGAACTCGTGATCGTTATTGCCGTTGAGGACAAATACTTAATTCCAAGGCAGTATACCACCGACACTGGGACGTTATGTACTTACTGCAAACAATTCCTCCGCGCAGCGTGTATCTATAGGTATTCAGCACAGGATTGGGACATCCACTTCTGGTCAGCCGTCCGTAGCACCTGTCATGGACGAGACAACAGCTGGAAATAAATGACCAGAGGTCAGTTAATATATATATGTATATCACACATGGGACTGGGCAGTCAGTGCAGTTCAGCAGTGCGGATTTGGGGGGGGGGGGGGGGTCAGGGTTAGTCCAATGTTTTATGCAATGACATAATAGGAAAATTCTTGGCTCAAAAAAAGGCGTACTCCATGAAACGCAGTGGTCTATACTTGATTTTATTTATTTCTTTAAACAAATTTATATTTGTGTACCAAGGATATCTAGATGAGGGGGTGTTGAGATTTTACTTCCCTGTCTGCTCTTTACTCGCCCCCCCCCCTCTTCAGTTCTGTCTCTCTCTCTCTCTCTCTCTCTCACCTGTCCACTCCGTCTTTAGGTGTTCCTCTTCCACCCAGACCACACCTACAACCATAACCGTTATAAGCCAGGGCAGACCTCCTGGTGCGACTGAAGATCATCCAGCCTAACTGGACAGCGTTCCTCTTCTTACGTGAATGAACGCTACTCTTTTCATTCTCACACATGCAGGCAGTGACTGCATACATGACTGTAAGCAGAGAAATATGAAAGTTACCACCTAAATAAGTTCCACGTTTCAACTTGGTAAAACATATGTAAAAAAAAGCCTATCTGCACATGGGAAAGTATCGCCCACATGTTTATATTCCAAATATTAATTAAAAGTAAAATATATTCCAATTTTAATTAAAAGTAAAATATCACGTACGCGGCGTTCACAGCACCAACATGCATTGACCATTCAGTCTTAAACCGCGCTTACCTACCAATGAAAACAACTGTAAATGCAATCTTCATCTTTCTGTCGTCTATAGGACCTACAGGATGCAGAGGACACCTTAACTTCAGGGGGAAACCTTCCGGTTTAACGTCCACTGAGACTGTGGCAGTTATATTTGTACCAGGCACCAGTGTGACCAAAACCATCGTTATAGTAAGGAGACTTTCCGTGACTTGAACGTATTAAGGTTTAACCCCCCCCCCTCCCCATTTTCTCAATTTCTGCCGCAGAGTTTTATTTGGTGTTAAATATCGTATCATATTGACAACTGTAATCTTTAATTGAAAAAATCATACATCAGAAAAAGGATTTGAAAGAAAAAAAATTCATCAGAAAAATGGTTGTTAATGTTGCCACGTCGTATAACAGGAAGTTAGCGTTAACGACTACTACTGCTACAGTTAATGTATATTTACGCCCTTCGCTGGTCACAGACAGTTTAAAAATGTAATGAGGGGTTTACACGAAGAACTAAGATTTTGGTGCACATTATGTTATCAGTCAATGTATTAAATTACTATCCTTCGCTGGGAACGCGTTTTAGACAAAAAATCAAGAATATATAAGTCTGAGAAAGGACAAGGCCGAAAACCAAAGAAGAAAAAAAGACAAGTCTTTAGGCCTATATAGCGAGGTAAAAACGTAAATTTTGAAATTGTTTTGTTGGTAACAAAATTCATGACGGATATAGCTCTTCGAAATACAATAAAGTATGAATCGCATCCGCGCGCATTTGTGTGTGTGTGTGTGTGTGTGTGTGTGTGTGTGTTTGAAAGAAAGAGAGAGAAAGAATGAAAATAAGAAATTAAAGAAGTTTTGCATGCCGTTCTACGTCGCTCTGGTGTGCTGAAACCCCTTTCCGTGTTAAAGTACATTGTTTCTGTGCAAAAAAAAAAAAAAAAAGAAATGTGTGGACAAATATAATTAGGTCTTATGACCTCGTTCCCATGGACACCATCGGTCTTTGTAGATCGACCAAACTCTGCAGGGACTCTCGCTAAGTGCAATCACGACTTCCTTTGTGTCCACCGTGTTCGTATAATCGCCAGCTTTTCTGTACACTACTTCACGCCTGGAGGAGGTGTGTGATTCAGTCAAGCTGATTTCAGTCAGCTAGAGTGTCTGCAGGATTAGGTCGCTCCATTTAGACCGATACTGTCTATGGGAATGCATTTCTATTTACACCGATTTGTGAAAAAATACATGAGTGCAGACTTCAGTTAACTTCCATCTCTTCGTGAGAATGATATTAGTCCGCACGCACGTAAGCGTGATAGGGGAGGAGGCGAAAGAACAATTCTGCATGGGTGGGAAAAGTCCGCTCTGAGTAAATTTTGATCTAGGTTCTATGCGTATTTTCATATTGGGTCGCCTTAGGGGGTAAAAATAATATCAGACATGATCGATTTCGCTTTGATCGTCGTATAATTCAGCCCTATCAACGTACTGGTATTTCCACACTAGAACCGACCAATATATATTCTTGATCAAGCTTTTTAAACTCATAAAGTTTAAAGGAAATGTGGCCACTTCAATCATAGCCGATTCGTGTAGAGAAGACTACAGGTGTAGTTGTGACGCAATGTGTTGTTCATAATCGGTTGTGTCTGATTGCGTTGCAAGTCGCAACTATCGCAATGAAATAAAAGCATCGCCCCAACTGAACGTCACAGCAATCGAACCCAGGAGGGCCAGGTCGATCAAGTCCAGTGACCACCCTTATTTTTGACACTCTGAATCCACTTGTGTTTGGATGAGGGCCTAGAGGGAATGTGAGAGGGGGATGATATGACCTTTGTTCCAATTATCGTTTTTTTCCCCTTAATTTGCACAAAAAATAGAAAATGTTCAAAATTAAATCTCTTTTGAGAGGCTGCAAAAATCTTTATTTTGTTTTAGGGTTAAGAGAAGAAAAATACTCATCGTTGCCAAGGACTATTTTAAGGTAATTTAAATATTTATTGCACATTTTTTACTTTTTTCCCTAAATGCCCGATGTTACTCTATTCATCCTTGAAACGCTATATGTAAATGTGTTTCCTGATCATTTTCTAATATTCCAAGCCAAAACAGTAATTCAGTTATTCTGTTACCATCTATAACCATTATAGGTATCCGTGCTCAATCTCGATTTTTGAAAGAAAATTAATCTCCTGGTGTGGTCATGGGTTCTGCTTTTTAATCGATTTTAAAAAATGACCTAATAGAGGAAAACGCAAAGCCTGTTTTGATGTGATTTTAAAATGTATAGTGTATGACTGTTTTCTAAAACTGATTTTATTGGCTGTACTTAATTCTTATTTATGAGAAAGTGCGGTCCATTTGATCTTTTGATAAAAAATTCTGAAGGTTACATTTATTGAATTCAATGTCAAATAATTTTTCATATAAACTAAAATAGAACAAAGGAGGAAAATCCAAAGAATGCCAATTTCCTTTTTTCATTTTAAAAGAACGACCCTTCATCTTGGCTTTAATTCTTAAGCCAGCTTCAACAATAGTCCTAGTTTAGGTAATTTTATACAACATCTATTCATTTTTAATATATAAAGAAAAAGTGTGGCACGCCAAATATGTCAGTTTTCTTTTACATTTTAAAAAGTACTGGAGAAAGCTCTGGCCTCTCTGATCTAATCGTGCGTGAGGCGGACTTCCTTATAAGGGCATCGACTAGAATGCAGCAGATGAGACACCATTGTGCTTTTACAAATGTAAACAAACTGTATCCTTTTTCATATAAAATACTCATTCAGTAACAAAGTTTTGTACTTTCAATTCTGATATTTAAAGTCGCAATAACAGGTGTGGACGACCGCCCACGATAAATTCACCTGCCGATTCATTGACATGACTCAGAGTCAACAAGCGGCTATAACTTTGATGTTGCGAAAGATCAAAGACCCAGTCGCCTAATCTAAGGAAAAAGATAAACACAGATTTGAGTTTTAATCTTTCTTTGTTAGTATCTCTTCGCAAGTTGCGGTCCTACACGAGGAAAGTTAACTGAGAACGCAGTTAAGTATCGGAATGCACGGCTTAATGAATGAAACTTCGTGACCTCTCCCCTCTTCAATAATGTGTGACGTAAGCGTCCGGAAGACCCCCAGCAAACAAGAGGTTAAACTGCGTATTAATATCAAAATGCTAAAATTAAGAATATATCCCCTCTCAGTTATGCTAGTAATTCATTTACACAGCAGGTACAGTTTCGTCTTTTTGGCACTAATAAATTTCACTTGTATGTAATAGTACTTGAAGAGAGTAATCTCATTAATGACCTAGTTTATGACGCGTCACTATAACCTACTTTAAGTCAGTGGTGAAGAGGTGAAAGGAGCAAGTCAAGTTAGAGAAACTTTTTTCGAGTGGCCTCCTGCGAGTTTCCCAGGAAAACTTCAAGATTTCTCCCCACGGATCGTATTGCTGGTTAAACAGAAACCGCCCAGGATCTGCAGATACCCCAGGGACGCGGAATTTGTTCACTTAAACGGGGTCTGGGACGATTAAAAACATGGCTCAACAACCCGAAGGCAACAGGCAAGTCGGGTCAACTCAGCCCATCGTCCATGTTCGTGAGAACTCCAACCAAGAATTAGACGCTCTGTTTGACGTTCTTAATAAACAGCCCCTTCAGCCACAGAGATCATGGAAGGAGAGGGGTCTGCCTCCATCGTTTTTTAACCCCAGTGTCCAGCGGACAGGTAACCACAGCCGGGAGTCCAGTACGGACTCGATGACCAGTGGTTATCACAGTCTGGCCCAGGGAGGGCCTGGAGGAATGATGCCCCTCCACCAAAAGACGCTGTCCAGCCCGGCTGTACTGGGCGGGCACTTGTCTGTGGCCCCCCAGCAGCCGCCTGCACGACACCACGTCAGACAGTCAAGTCTGGGGGACCCTATCGCTGACGACAGCCCCCTGGGTCTCCCCCCGGGCTGGGACATGGCACGAACCCCCAGTGGACAGCCCTACTACATCAAGTAAGTGAACCCCGAGATTCCAGGCTTGGATATTTATGTAATAAAATTATCCTGTTCATGATTTTAAGAAGGAATTCCATGTTGATTTTTGTCATATTTCATATTTCATTTATGTTTTAATGAGTTATGTTTAACGTATTATTCTCATGTATATTTTTCATTTTAAAATTTGTTGATGTATATGTAAAATGTACATGAAAAATAAAAGTTGATAAATATGGATATCATTCTGTCCCAGACACATTAATTACATGTCCTTTTTATAATCAATTTAATATATTCACATCCTCTCTAGTCACACACTACCACAGACATGGAATATTTATCATGTACATTATGTTCTTATCACACTAGTTTTATGATGTGTACTGTATTAAATTTTCACAGGTATTGTTCAATGTTTTATAGATTTCATGCTCTGGTCTGCATGTTGTAGTGATATGTTTAACATTTATATTCTTTAGTAATTTTTTTCTTCTTTAAAGATACAACTCTTGTTTATGTTTTACAAGTAGGAGAAAGAAGGTACATGAAGTCAATGGTGAAATTATGTGTACTGTATGTGTGCATGTATTTATGAACCATCATCTGTGTAGCATGTCTGATAAACACAACTAAGGACCAGGCTATCAGAAAATATATAAAAACTTTTAGTCATCAGGAAAAAATCATAACAGTAAGGTCAGAATACAAGTGGAAAGCCGTACTGTATCAGAAAGCGGCTTGGTTTGCAATAAAGCTACCATTGTTTGACTGTAAGAGAGGTCCCAGACGTCGTCCTCATGGGGGGTCTGTAATAAACAAGATAGCTCAGCCTGGGGGGTCCTTCTGCCACCCACACGAAGAAGTCATTAAATGGGAGACAAGATTGTCGTACAGCTCTGTTTTATAGCAGTTGTTGGTGATCACAACTGGTAGAGATATTTAAAAGATGGAATGTCTAAGAGTGAATGAGAGAAGAGTGGAGGAGAAAAATTGGGGGGGTTGAAACTATTTCCCTATTTCCAATGTTTCTGTTTCATGTAGTTTTAATCACCATAGCTATGACCAGGACATTGTGGCCACAGTACTAGTGTTTAAGTTACTGATGTGTGCGTGCCTGTGTGTTTTCATTCGTGTGTATGTTCGTGTGTTTGTAGGCAGGAGGCTAAATTCATACAACTTAGGATTTTTTACCCGAGACTAAAAGTCATCTGAACTCTGTTACACTCAGCAGACAGTGGGAATGTCTTGCCTTGACCTTAAACTTTGAAACGAACAGATTGGATCCTTCTTTTTATGGTGTGATTTGCTTCTTCAATTAACACTACAGCTACAGCTGTCATGTGCACTGCTGTCTAGTGAACTCTGACATTTTACAGCAGCAGTTTGGCTTTCTTTGTATTGTATAGTCTTTGGAACTTGAAACATTTAAAACAAAATATTTCAAGTTTCCACATGACTCGATTCATGAGGTTTGAAAGTCAGGTTGATTTATCTTGATTTCTCCAACCCCCGCACATCCGGCTCCCAACTAAAGGCCAAGACAAAATAATAGTATGACCAACATTAGGATTACCTTGATCAGAAATTATAATTGATACATACAGAAATTCTTCTTAGCATAACTTCCATGTGACTTGCAAATGCATGGGTGAAATTTTTCAGGATTTTGCATGATTTCAAAATTTTCAGTCTTCGTTTGATTGTTTTTTCATACGGTCTATATGAGACATGATGAGACATTGCAAGGTATGTTTTCAGTCTTTACAACTTTCACCCTTGGGCATAATAATAGTACCAAACTGAAAAGTTAATCTGGGGTAGGCTCTGTCTACTTCTCAGGTTGAAGTCTACTCCTCAGGTTGAAGTCTACTCCTCAGGTATAGTCTACTCCTCGGGTTGTGGTCTACTCCTCAGGTTGTAGTTTACTCCTCAGGTTGTAGTCTACTCCTCAGGTTGTAGTCTACTCCTCAGGTTGTAGTCTACTCCTTGGGTTGTAGTCTACTCCTCAGGTTGTAGTCTACTCCTCGGGTTGTAGTCTACTCCTCGGGTTGTAGTCTACTCCTCAGGTTGTAGTCTACTCCTTGGGTGGTAGTCTGCTCCTCAGGTTGAAGGACAGAAATATTGAAGTTTGCATTGCTGAGTATAGGGAGAAGTTCACCTGGCTCAGATATAGCTCTAACTACTGATTCTACCCCCCTCCCCCTCACACACACACACTTTCCTCCTCCCAAGTCAAAAAGAGTTGGTATTTACAGTGTGTTCTCTGATGTGTATAGTTCTGTGACAGGTTTATATCACATTGACTACATGAAACTTTCTCAAGGGAAACTGCCAGCTTAATGAGTCCATAGCGACAAGTGCCCCCTGCCTTATGAGAAAGAGAAATAGGTGAATTTATTGCCTTACACCATATCAACATTAGTAGAAAGGGGTTTTCCATTTATTCATAATATCATTGATATGACTTCACTTACGTCAGATATTTAGCTAATTCAGTATTGAAACTACAACCAGATTCTCAGCCTGGTCTGCTTGCTCTGTTTACCTTTATTCAAGTTCCTGGAGTTCAGACATGTGGTCTAAGTTCTCATGAAGTGGGTCAGGCCAGTGACCAGTGAGAATGTATTGATCTTGCTGTAGCACATTGTTATTATTACAATGCAGACCTCACCAATTAGGCTTAGGTACAGGAGGGTAGAGATCAATATGTGAACAGTGTAGTATTGACAGGTAGTAAGTCTTGATTGAGGGGGGGAGACCGAGGTGGGAGGTGAAGGACTAGAAACGCTACCCTAGCATGAGTTAGCTAACTAGTTGTAATGGTAGAAATATACATAGGGTGAAAACATGCATATTGATGTCTTAATTTGCAGTGGAGGCCCCATTAATTAGTCTGCTAATACTGGTGACAGGGAATTAATACTACAGTTAATGGACTGATGTAGGTAATGGTGCTGACTTTGTGGTTGATGTATTAAAGTAACAGTGATGGGAGAGGGTGGAAAGGGGGGGGGGCTAGGGTAAGTCTATTAGTCTGGCAACATGGCATACCAACTTAACTAAGTCTTGTGATGAACTGAGACCAGTAGAAGTCCCAGGTGCAGTGCTCATTAACAAGTCCAGGATAAAGGTGGGAAGTAATCAACATTGGGGGGGGGCAGCGGGGGGGGGGCCACAGAGGCCTGGAGGATGGGGGGGAGGGCTATACACTAACTACTGGCAGGGCTCAAGTCCCTGTGGTATACAGGTTGAGAGTTCTAGCCGTCAGGGACAGGGAGTTTTCATTCTGAACACATCATAATAACATCAACTTTATGACATTGGTTAAATGGAGTTGTAGCTATTTAATGTCAGTCACCTTGGTTATGGCAATGATTAATTGTTTCCACGATAGAGACAGAGTTTGAGAGAGAGAGAGAGAGAGAGAGAGGGGGGTTGATTGTATGATATTGTGGCTAGTTTAGTGTCAGTGACATAGTTCAAAATGCCATAAACCTATTTTCTCTACATAAACTATCCCAGTGAAGATGTTAAGTTGTAGTACAGTACTAGTAACTGCCACACATGTTGTGTCTAGTATGGTATATACTGAGGAAGTACCAGGCAGCTCCAGATACTACATGTTATGGCATCCCCATGACCTCATTTCTTTACCCCTCCACAGGCCTGGGGGTGACCCAGTTTGGGCCCTAGATCTAGTAAGGAGGTTTCCTTGAAGGTGAATGTTTTCACAGTGTAATTTTGGGATTGCTAAGTTATTTTTTGCCCTTTCAATGTTGCCATGTAGAGCAAGGTTTAGTGGTCAGTGATCCTTATACCTCTCAACAAGTGTACCATGTGGAAGTGGTTCAATTATCATAATGAGTCTTCTGAAGTATCTCTACTGAAGTTGAGCAGTTGAAAATTTGATTTCAAATTGATTATACTGCCACACACATACACACACGCATGCGCGAGCACATGCACACACACTGCCCTGCACAGAATGTAACAAGCCCAGCCTCCATGTTTTCCATAAACTGCTAGCTTTCAGCAGTGGTGCTTGGGTGTGTGTTAGGATATGTCAGTTCCAATAAAAGAACTGGTCAGCTAAACAGAAAGGCTACTTGATTCATGTCAGGTCAGGTGCCCTTAGAAAGGAAGGGAGAGGGCCTTGGGGGGGGGGGGAACAACTGGTGGGGTAAGAGGAGAGTGGTTTCACAGGTATACTAACAAGGTGCTCTCTATCTCACACACACACACAAACACACTCTCTTTCTCTCTCTCTCTCTCACACACACATACACACACACACACACACACACACACACACACATACATTCAATCAGTATGACTACAATATTCTAGACTTTATTGTCCAAGTCCTAGCACAATACACAAGGGTAGAGTAATGAATATTAAAATTCAAACAGCCTTAGTACATAACCCCCTAGAGAAAGGTGTAATTGTTGAGAACAGGGGGTCTCCTGTTAACGCAGACTAGGCGTGTGCTCTTTCATCCTAAGAGGATGCGTTCATAGACTTAAAAGTTGAGGCCAGCTTTGAATTTTGGTTCATGTTCAACTCTCCCATCCCCCCTTCTCTTCAATACATGCCCAGACTGCTCAAACAAAGCATCCACTTTTCAGACAAATAAAAGAATAACAAACAGGAGCTGACTTAAGTTTCAACAAATACTGGTGAGATCTTAGCTGATAGTAAACATATCATACTCCAGGTGCTCCCACTGGGCTGCCATTTTGTCTTCAGGGCAAGAGGTAGAAGTGATCGTTGGTGTTCAGAAAAAATAATAGCTTCACTGGGGTAGCCCTAGAATTTTTTTTTTTTTTTTTGGCTTCGCTTAATTCACCATTTTTTGTCAATTTGTTATCCAAATGGTTATAATTTGACTAAAACAAGTGAAATCAAGCCCTTTTTGTTTAGCCAATTTATGTCAGTTTAAACATTTGGCTAAATTGGCGAGTGTTAGCACTATCCCAGATTCAACTTCTCATGGGCATTAGCAGATCATAAAA